TATATTTTTTTTATATATTTTCTAAATCGGTGGTCAAAAAAAACTTGATATAAATGATATAGTAGACAATTAACTTTTAAACCATTTCAAAGTTTAAAAAAGTTCAAGTATTGAGAAATAATCTAATGATAACCATTAGATAACATCATATTACTATCATTCATTAATTTTTTCGAACATTCAGTATTTGTTTTATGCTAAGATTTACGAGATACAAACAATGGTTCACCAAACACTAAAATTTACTTGCTTATATGGGAAGAGAAACAAACACTGTTATGCAAGTTGATTTCTTTTCTAGTAACCATTGTTCCATCCAACTTTTGGCATTTCGCAGCATTAGCAGGATTATTTTGGCAATCGTCAAGCGTTGCAAGATTTCGTTGTCGTTGTTCCTTACACGCGCCGATTACCGCATCGGATAAAGATTGAAAGGTTTGATTGCCGACGGCAAAACTGTTTCCTGTCTGGGCAACAGATAGTAAAGCATTACCGAAGATATTGGCGTTGAAGGCACCATTACTTATTCCATGAGCCTCACATTGTTGGGCGTGCTTGTCGACGGCATCTTGATTTATAGGAGTGCCGTTGAGTTTATTGCATGCAGCAGTACCTTTCTTTGCGGCTGTTTGGCAATTAGCCAACGTTTGATTCAATACGGTAGACATTGTATTACATACTTCTGTCAATGCTGCAGCGCTAGAATTCTTGGGGACGGGAGGCACAATGTCAAAGAGGAAGGGGTTAATAGTCATTGTGGCCTGTTGGCGTCTTGTAAGTGGGAAGGCAAATGACATGGCAGAAAAAGTCATGCAAAGAATTAAGACGATGCCGAATTTCATGTTTAATGATTGAGAATGCATTCTTGACAAGAGTGTAGCTCAAAAAGTGATGTGAAGACGTTTTATTAAACTACAAAAACCCGTTCAACAGGTGAGTAAAGAGTGTAGAGAGTGTAGAAGGTGAGAGTGTGAGAATTAATCTAATGAAAAATCTTTTGCTGGATGGAGTCCTTTATATATCTTGCAGGAGAAATATGGTGAGTGCATCTTACATCTGTAATAAAAGATCAGTTGACGTGTTTCAAAGTGAGGACTAAAGAAAACCGACAATTTTAATTTTTCATTTTTACTAATAATTACTGAATGGAATCAACGTAGTAGATTATAATCTGTGCTCGGTTCCTGACCAACCCGGCAAAACAAATCCGCCTAACGATAAAATACTTAACCAGCCGGATGGATTAGGTAAATTAATAAAACTAATAAAATCCCTCACCCCATATTGCATTTATTATAAATGCGCCGATCAGAAGTTGAATGAAGGATCGTCATTTAATTATATTGAATGAGTTGACACACATTCTAGAAAACAGTGATATTCATAATTTATTTTCTAATTTCGAAGAAAGGGAATCATAAATTATATGAACCAAAAAACAATTAATTTATTTATTAGCGGAACAATGGAACAAAGACATTAGATCGGAATCATAAATTATATGAACCAAAAAACAATTAATTTATTTATTAGCGGAACAATGGAACAAAGACATTAGATCTCTCGCGTGTATCGATTTTTCACTTTATACTTTCCAATGAATGTAAAATTCCCGAAACCAAAACGCCAAATCCCAAATGAAATAAAACATTCCAAACAATTTGATACAAATACTTTGGAGAGAATACAGTCCAGATAAACAAGTGATTTCTTAGAATAGTGACTGCTATCGATAAGCATAAGAGAACTAGAGCGTGAAAAGATGATGTGTGTATCAAGTAATCAAAAAATGGGGAATCTTTTGAAAAGTTTTCGTCTTTGCTTTCGTTAAAGGATTGATTTTCTGGGCGCGTTTCTGTACGTTTTTGTTGCTGAATATTTGAAATTTCTTGACGCGTGACATTCCAAGCAATAGTCCACCATATGGGTCCAGCCCAATTCGCGAAAAATGTCAGAAGTCCAACAGAAAACACGTGGTATTCGTTAACACCTATATAAGAATTTCCGAGATCAACTGATGCCATAGAATTTGAGTTGCCTAATGCAAAAAATGACATTGTTTGAAGGCATAGAAATATGTAATTATAATAAATGGAGGGAAATGATGGTTCAATAGATAATGAGATGACGCATTTTTGCCATATCATAAAGAGTAAAAGTTGCAGTCCGAATAATGCGAATAAAGGGGCATTGTAAGGTCGCGATAAAAGAATAAGAAGAAAAGTGGAAATGCATAATATGATTTTTGAGAGAGTGTTGTTCACTAGAATAGGTAATGATTATGTTAACCTAGTTTTTCTAGAACGTGTGTAAAAGGACTGGAAAATGTAAAATATTACCTTCAGTATTATTTACTATTTTTATCTCGCGCTGTTCATAATTATCACCATTAAATAAAAATTTAATAAATAAACTTATCGAAAGCTGAGTAAATAAAAAGCTGTAAATAATTCGCGCGTGCAAAGTATGATCCGAAAAATGCCCAAAAGAAAATTCTCGAATAAACTTGAAAACAATCGCGTCATCACTCGCTAATTTATATGTCAATATGAGAAAGGCGACAAATACTGTAATGATTGCAAAGAAAGAATGTAAGAATAGGTTTAAATGTTGCATGAACTTTCCGAGACATAATCTTCGTGCTTCATTGAACGATTTTCTGATTTGATTTAATGTGGTTATTACGAGTCCAGATATTGTCGCAAAAAATAATATCCACATTACACCAAGATATTTAATTTTTAGATAATAGCGTAAGTCGATTTCACCAGCGTACTTTTGACCTATATCGAGTGTACAAATATCCATTCAATCATGATTAACATGTGAACCCGAAGATTCAAGAAATTTGATTTAACCAAATACCTGTCTGATTCCAACTTCGAATTAATCGGACAACAATCAATTGTCCCAATATTGTCAAAGTAAGCAAAGAAATTGGATTTTGTTTGATTTTTATGCTAAAGATAATAATTTTACTGGATTAATCCAAGTCGTGTATACAATAAAGCGATTAATGCATTAATCATTATTATCGTACCTGCTAAAAAGTAAACCAATCCACATAGTTTGCATCCAATAATACCAAAACTGATGTTCTTCCTCGATATAACTACTCGCAAACATCATGATACATAATTGAATTATACCAATTGAAATTAGTATTCGTTGGACATTCCAAATATTTTGTTTGTTCGATGAGTTGATTCTCAAGATATGATTTCGATTACAAGTAGGGTAAATAAGGAGCGCCATAAAAGCAATATTTGTCACAATCATACAAGCAATGCCAACATATATAGAACCGAGATTATATTCACTAAAACTCGACGAAAGTCTCGAGCTAGTCTCATATATGAACTAAAAAAAAATAGCGAATGTATTATTAACGCGTAATTGCTAATTATGTTACATAATATGTGATAATCATTATTTAAAATTTACCTGTTCATAAAATTTACGAGATTTTATTGTGAATGTTGTATCATTATTAGTGACTAGAAGAGCTTTAGAATGATAATAATGCGCGAGATTATATAAACACTGTAGTCTTTCTTGCGCATTTTCATTATCAAATTCACAATCATTCCATGTATCGAGATAATTTGGATCGCGGTCGAAATTTTGAAGAAGTTCAGATAGTTGATAGGCATTTAATTGCAATAACCTTAATGTTTCAAGTTCTGCATCATTCAAAAAGGAAATTAGAGAAACGTATCAATAATTTTTTAAATAAATTGAAGAAAAAACAAATAAATACAAACCACTAAGATCTCCAAATACTTCAAGTATAACTTTGCCCAAATTATTTTTCGGTATTGGAACTCCAAATAGAAAACATAACGTGGGCACCAAATCAACTTGATTGACAAAACCATAATAGCGAAAAGATTCTGGTTCACTTGGCGTGTCAAAGGTTGCGGGTAAGCGCGTAAACATGCCAAACTTTGAGCTCAATAAGACAAACACCTGTAAAATTCAATTAGTATCTCTTTTTATATAATTTCATCAAGTAACATTGATATGTCAAAAAATATATTTACCGTTGATGTTTCCCCGATCGAAGACCCGCCATGATTTCCCGCCTTGAAAGTAAGAAAACAGAGTTGATATCACATATTTAATTTAACAAAGTAATATACAAATACAAACTTCATTCATCCCATGATCTCCACATAATATCAAGAGAGTTGGCTTAGCATTAGGATTCACTTTCATCCTTTGTGCATCCTGTTCCAATATTATATCGAAAATAGTTTTTGCCACTTGATCCATTTCTCCTTGTTTGGGCTTCATCAATGAACTAAATAAACAAAAAAAATTATATATTTCCCTTGAACCATAATTATATGAACGAATTGAAGGATTAAAATTCCCGCGAATATTCCACCTGTACGGACCGCTGGAATGCCCAACATGATCTAGACCAAGATAATGTAATATTATTATATCCCAGTTAGGGTCTGATAATTCTGGGATTACGTGTCTCGTGACATTTAAGTCGACTTCAACTGTATCCTTAAAAAGAATAAATACTTAATTTATAAGTTTAAGGAGTCTTCTTAAAACTCTGTAAATAAATACCGTGGCAAAAAATGATGTGGTTCCGTCTGTTTTATGAAATAATCCAGGAAACAATTTTATCCAAGTATCATCACCAAAAAAAGAAATTGTCATATTACGAGCTTGCTTCATTTGCACAAGCCAATTGTCCTGATATGCTAACGAGCTAGAGGTATCTGACTCTGCGATATTTAGAATAGCATCCAAGAAATTCGGGACGGTACCTGATTTTTTGAATTTCATTTAACAGAATTGACCACTTATACTTTGAGATGATTATTAATAAAAAATAATAATAATAATAATAATAATAATAATAATAATAATAATAATAATACCTGTAGTAAGAGCTTTTATTCGAGGTAATGTGACAGTAGGGGCATTGGCAAAGGCAGTAAATGGAATAGCCCGATGTTCAGCTATCATTCTAGTAAAAACTATTATAATTTTGCATCAATTCAGATTTTCTTGCGATCAAAATAACAAATCAAATTCAAGAAATCATTTTTTGCTTTGTGAAGTAAATTAACCTTTGGATAAATGTCATATTAGAGTTTTGACCAAACACGAAATCACTATCAAATAAATAACAGAACAAGAGAATCAGAATTGATGATACTACATGAACATTTGATATCGAAAACTATTTAGTTGCATTTAAAAAAAATGTAAGTTGGTCATGCCTTCTAAGAGAGTCAACCAACATGAATACTAGTCTTTCAAAAGTTGGGGCCGGGAGAGAGGAATTTCCCCCGTTTGGTAAAGGCGGAATTTCATTGACTTTAGAAAATCCCGGTAAACTCGTCTTATATGGGAAAAAACCTCGCGCAAACATTCCAATGCCTACTAGCTGAATTGATAAGAGAAAAATTAGCGTAACCCAGTCTTTAAAGATTTTTTCGCGCATTTTCCAACTTTTGACATGTATACCCAAAATTTGAAAATTTTATTATCGTTATCGAAGAGTGTTACGTCACACTTTATTGCAGATCCGATTTACACAATAATAAATTAAGACATCAACACATCTCACGATCCATTGCTTTTAATGGCATCAAAAGATACGAAAGAAAAGGTGACAACTGCTGTCGAGTTTCTCGAGCAGCAACAAATTCTTGAGGAAGAGGCAGCAGAGATATTGCCTTGGAATTTCGACCAATGTACCTACTCCAATGGTTATATACGCCAACCAGTTTATGCTTGCAAAACATGCAAGCCTAACGCGAATTTCGAGTCCGGTGGAGTCTGTTACTCGTGTTCAATTGCCTGTCACGCAGGTAAACGCGAACTCGTTGATACCATTAGACTTTAGTTTTTCTTTTTTAAGCTTTTGCACTAGTGAAGACGAGCAAATATAGCAAGTATTTATATTGAGCAACGAGTGTTATTAGATCACGACTTGGTGGAGTTGTTTAACAAACGAAAGTTTCGGTGTGATTGCGGTACTGCTCGTCTTGGCGACCACGCCTGCCAAGTTGAACCTAAAAAGAATGAGGAAATAAATGAGCGAAACCAATATAACCATAACTTTGTAGGACGTTTCTGTTGGTATGTGGGCGAACTTTGCGAAAAGAAAAAGGTTAAGCGTACGCGGTTCCTGAAAACAACATATACCATTTTGTAGGTGTGATGATGAGTATGACGCGGAAAAAGAGGAGTCAAACATGTTCCAAGTATATAACAAGCTTTACTGAGTCAGAATTCTTTGAATTTTTGGTGTTTTTCATTAATGTCATGACATCAAATTCGATGATTTGTAGTGTTGCGTGTGTGAAGATTGGTTTCATGAGGGATGCGTGAATGGTGAAAAGACCGGAAATTTAAATTTCATGGTGAGTCTCTTTCCATTCACAGCATCACAATGTGTCCTACCTCAATTATAGAATATACAAAGTCATGTGATTTTTCAATTTTAGATCCCTGATTTAGAATCATTTGAAGAATATATTTGCCGTACATGCACTAGCAAATATCCTTTCTTAAAGCAATATAAACATTCACATATGTTCTTCTCCGGTCAATTTAAACCAGAAGTCGAGCAATCATCATCATCAAATTTAACCGAATCAAATCAATCATCATCAAATGTCAAGGATTCTCAAGTAGTCACCAGTGGTGATCAACCTCCTAAAGAGACGGTGATGACATCATCAAACGTGACGTCACCATCAGCAACAGAATCATCAGTCAAAAGAAAAATTGATGACAACAACGACGGCGACATCATTGATTCATCATCGTCATTAAAAAAAGTAAAAGTCGAATCAACTAAAAAAATACCATGCAAACTTGAAAAATTCCCATTGATTTCTAATCATTTGCAAGTGGATTTATTTTGTGTGCAAGGTTGGAGAGATGAATTATGTCGATGCGTCAAGGTTGTATTTATGATGATTTCATTTTGAATTAGACAAAGATCTAATATTTTCCCTTTTTTTTGTT